AAATTTTGGGGTGGTAGCAGCCCCCCTCCCATTGCTGTGGCCCGCCCTAAGCTCTGGGAAAAGTCCGGTGCCACCGCTGGCCCCAGTCTGCAGGAGCAGCCTGCTCTCCTATAGGACACAGATCTGGGGGCATGCGCCCCCTGGGAAGAGGCCGGTGCAGCCTCCCAGCCTGCAGTCCTTCCAGGGTGTGCATAGCAGCAAGAGCTGCTGCGCGCTTTCTCCCCCCCCCCCCCCCACACACACACACATACACACAGTTTCCTCTGTTTTGCTCCCTGCTGCAGCCCCGGGAGTGGCCGAAGGGCTGTGCCACACGCCTCCCTCCCTCACTGCCTAGTCGCTGCCTTACTCCTTCCTTCCCTCACCGCCATGGGAATGTATCCTTATTTCTCACGTTGTAAACTGGCTTCTCTTTATGCAAATTCAATTTATGCACAGTTTTCCAGGAACACATGTACTGCATAAATTGAGGGAAACCTGTAAATTGCACTGGAATATGAGTTAGTGGCCCCTAACAGACGTTAAAGTTGCAGTGGGATCTGATGTGGGATTCTGATAGTTGTGCTTCCTGCCATGCCACAGATGCATGGCAGGAAGCACGACTATGGGACTGAGGGTCAGGTCCCACTGCACCATATTGCTGGTCAGGGGGAGCACAATCCAGATCTCTTCCTCACTGGCAAATGGCAAGCTTGACTCCCTGCACTTGTGTGACTGGCAGTCTTGGTCAGGTGATTGGGCCTCACACTGCAAGGCATAATACCCAGAATGTATCAAGGTACCCTATAATGTGCCACAGATAAAATCAGGGAAGATGGGCAGTGCCAATGCCCTGTGACTGCAGAGTGCTAGTTAGTTTATATGTCAGAAGATCCTAGAAGGACTGTGACACACACAGCAGGAAGATGGGAAGCCTCTGGACCCTCTCTAACTTCTCCACATCCTTTTAAAAATGTGGAGCCTAAGCTGCACACAATAGTCTACATGAGGCCTAACCAGTGCCGAATGGAAACTCCTGTGTCTTGCACTTCATGCTTCTATTGATACATCCTAAAACTGCATTTGTTTTTTGTGCATCTACATCACACTGTAGGCTCATGTCGAGCCTGTGATCTACCAAGACTCCCAGATCTCTTTCTGTAGTGCTGCCATTCAGCCAGGTGTCACCCATTTTGTATTTGTGTTTTTGATTCTTCTTCCCAACCTTGCACTTGTCAGCATTGAACTTCATCCTGTTAGCTCCAGCCCAGATTTCCAGTGTGTCAGGATCCTTCTGAATTGTGGTCCCATCTTCCAGTGTGTTTGCAGTCCTTCTCAGTTACATGTCATTTACAAATTTGTTAAGTACTCTCTCTATTCTAGCATACAAATCCTTGTATGATTGAACAGCAGCGGGCCCAGGACAGACTTCCTGTGGGACTCCTGCCATTCTGACATGAATCCATTTATAAATACCCTTTGCTGTAGTTATTGAGCCAGTTGTCTATCCACCTTACAGCAGTTATGTCTAGCACACATTTCTTCAATTACTTTGAGAGAGTCACGTAGGACCTTGTCAAAAGCCTTGCTGAAGTCCAGATACACCATATGTACAGAATTCACTTCAGCCACCTAAGGAGTTAGTTTGTCAAAGGAGGAGATCAAATCTGTTTGACACTATTTATCATAGAAAATCTCTGCTGGCTGCTTGTGATTGGCCTCTCCTCCTTCAGATGCTTCCAAATGGACTTTCTTAGGATATGCTTCTGTAACTTCCTGGGTATTGAGAAGAAGCTAATTGATCTGTAGTTTCTTTTTTGCCTTTTTAATAAAGGGGCACTGTGTTGGCCTTTTTTCCTATCCTCTGTTACCTGGCCTGTCTCCCATGACTTTATGAAGATTATTGCCAAGGGCTCCAACATCTCTTTTGCCAGTTCCTTCAGCACCCTGGGATGAAGTTTCTCAGGCCCTGCTGACTTGAATTCATTCAGACCCATCAAAAGCTCTCTAACTGTCTCTCTTGTTATCTTTTCCCTCAGCTTGTCCCCTTCCTTATCCAAATAATCCTTGTCTGTTGTCTGGTTGAAACTTACATTTTTTTGTGAAGACTGGCAAATTAGCTGTTGAGTAGCTCCACCTTCCTTGCATCTTTTGGCAAGAGTTCTCCCTGGCTAGTTAACAGTGGACCCACGGCTTTTTTTTCATCTTTTCTGACCAGCATACTTACAGGGCTGCTTCTTATTGTCTTTATCCTCCCTCACTGGGTGCAGCTCATTCTTTATCTTTACCTTCCTGATTTTTTTCTTTGCAGGTTCTTGCTATTTTCTGGTATGCTTCCTTGGTGACCTACCCTTTTTTCCATTGCCTGTATGCTGTCTCAGGATCTGGAATTCTGTCATATCAAGACTCTTTCCTCCCAAGTTTCCCATCATCTTCTCATCCTCTACCAGTCCTTCCCTATTGGTCAGGACAAGATCCAAGATAGATTTTGTATTCTCAACTTTCTGGAACAAGCTTAATCAACAGTTAATTTTCCATAGTTTTTCAGGAAAAGGTCTTAAGTTACAAGGTAGTCTGATTTGTCCTATGTAGTTGGGAGGCTTAGTAACAACTACCAGTGTCTCTCATTTTTGCTAACAGGCCAGATTTTGAGCCAGTTCCAGTCACAGCCTGATGGTACAGTCAGACTCTCATCTGGCCATTTGTATTTAAAGGCCTAAAGGGACCTGTCATTGCCAGCTCTTCAGGACAGTTGATATGCTCCTTAAACAATAGCCAGGCATTTGCTGACTGTATTTGTGCTTTTTGCAACATTGGCTTTTTCTATTTTATGGTGTCCAGTTCTAATGTCTAGGAAATATTCTTATTAATATTTATGTTCCTTCTTGCTACTGCTAGCAATCTCAAGTGAGGTGATTGGCGCTAGTGAGTTACCTTATATCCTGTTTGACTACTGACTTGACTCTAGAAAGGTGCATTTTAATGATATTAATTTAGTTTCCCCTCTTATTTTCAGGAGAAACTTGAACACCAATATGCACAAAGTTACAAGCAAGTGTCATTATTGGAAGATGACCTGAGTCAAACACGAGCCATTAAAGACCAACTGCACAAATACGTAAGGGAACTGGAACAGGCCAATGATGACCTAGAGCGTGCAAAGAGGTGAATTCCTGGAAACCTGTTGTCTCACTTTGACTGTTGCTAAGTCTGACCGCTTAGATACTATAAACAATAGTGGATCTTAGGTAGTCTTAAGGAAAGACGCTTGATGTCAGATGTCTGTTGCAGTTAACCTCAGTAAATGATTATGCCTATAATACAGCAATGAGTGTAAGAGGAGTCTAAAGTGATTCATATATTTACTGTAAAAACATAAGAAACAAAAGCAGTAATTTCCAGTTGACTTTATGGTCTTCCAGAAGAAAAGGATGAAGCATAAAAATAACCCCTCAAACAAGCCCCGTCAGCATACCAAGTTTTACATTTAATAGCCAAGTGATTCTTACAGCATCCATGTGATCCTTCTAGAACAGTGTTTCTCAACCTTTTTCACTCAAAGCAGTCCTCCAGAACTTGTCAGAATTTAGTAGCACTGCATTGAATAATTAATATGAATATTATAATAGAAATATTAATTAATATGTTATTATTATATTCATCCCTTCAGATTGCTGATAGGGAGTGCTCCCCTAGTTCTGCATGGCCCTGTGCACGTTTGCTACCAGCCCAGTCATGGACTCCATAAGCCCCTGGTCACCGGTGGGGATTGGGAGCCACTGGGCCAAGTTCTGATTTTAGTTACCCCAGGGTGATCCCCCTTGAACTCCAGCCCTGATGCTGTAATGGACAGTCTGGGGACATCCAGCCAGCAGGGATGAGGTGCTGGGCTGCACACACAGCACATGGAAAGTGCTGATGGGGTGGAAGGGACAGGGTATGTAAAAGGACACGTGAGGCTAGGGAGGGTGTAGGGGGGCCAGCCAAGTGGGTGCTGTGGTATAGTCATTCCCACCACTGGGTGCAGGGTGAAATTGCATCACACACCTTGGTTTTCAGGAGGAAATGAGAAGCGGCTGCAGCAGAAAGGTGCACTTGCCTGTATTATGTTATAAAGGTAGGTGTGCCACTTCTGCTGCAGCTCTTTCTGGTTTGGCTCCACTGTGCCTCTTGGAAACGGAGGCACATGATGCACTTTCATCCCATGGCAGTAACAGCTTGGAAACTGATGCTGCTGCCACCAGATAGAACTGTACCGTGCACCTCAACTTTCAGGAGGTGCATTGGAGCCAAACTGGGAAGAGATGCAGCAGAAGCAGTGTGCCTGCTTGCATCATGTAAAGAAGGCAGGCATGCCTTTCTGCTGCAGCTGCTTCTCAGTTCAGCTCTAACGTGGTTCCTGAAAACCAGGGTGCCTGGCAGATTCACCACATGCTAGCAGTGGCACAGCACCCCTGGTCGGTTCTTATAGGACCCTGGGAAGCTGCAGCACACTGGTTGAGAGCCATTGCTCTAGGACAAAGCTTCTTTGAAGTACAAAGCAGCTACTTCACACAGTCTCATGTAAATAAAACAACCTCTATCATTCGCTTTTTTCCTTGCATACTATGGTTGACTGCAGGGAGTGAACATGTCCTGGATAAGAAGCACAGAAAACTACCAAAGTGCTCTAGATATGCCCTGTTTGAAAAGTAACAAACAGATCGTGCTTCTGTTTAAATGAAAAGGAATTTTGTCACTGACTTCTATGGCAGCGGAAACGAGCGTCTGGTAGAATAGCCTGACTCTACTTCATCAAAACACTTAACCTTATGGTTAATTTTTGAAACCTATGAGCCATCCTTTTGAAATCAGTAGAACACCTTGCATGCTTAAAGATAGTTATATCTGAAGTGAGAGGGAAGGCATTTAGAGTGCAAATGACTCTTGTCTTGTGCCAAAGGCAATTTATTGTGCCAAAGAGCAATTTCAAGCGACTACATTGTGGCAGTGGTGGCAGTGAAGATGCTTTTCTTCTTCGTTGCCATTGCACCTACAAAGCGCGATCTGATGGAACTGTTCTGTGTAATGAATGGCCTGATAAATCAGAATCATCTCTGCTCAGAAATTGTCATCCAGAGTCTGCTGTGACAAGTGTGCTACCTACTTTGCTTTTTTGTCTTGGGTACAGGATACTCTATCAAGGCCTTTACTTTATCAACAAGGGCCTGATATCACCATTGCCTACTGTACACCTAAAATATTTGGTGTCCTAACATTTTGCTGGATTCACTAAAGTGACTGTAGAACTGCTCTGCCCCACTGAAGATGTTCCTTCTAGGTCCTGATGAACATTGCCACATCATACAGTCAAAAAATCATAGAGAAGTAGGGCTGGAAGGGACCTCCAGAGGTCATCTAGTCTAACCCTTGCCTGAAGTAAGATCATCCCTATCCAAACCATCCTATACAATCCATAATCTAAACTTTACATAAGACTACTGTCAACACTGACACAACACAGACCTAACCTGCCACAGGTACAGCAAGCAAGGGAACGACAGCAGCCAATGTCCTGCTTCTGTGAAATGTTATTGTATGCTCAAGAGGCCCAGGTAGAGGCCCATGCTCCTTGCTGCAGATGAAGACAAAAACCCCCACAGTTCAAACCAATCTGCCCACTGGGTAGCACTTTTTCCTGACCCCAAATATGGTGATCGGTCTGACCCTGAGTGGAGTGGCAAAAACCTCTAGCCAGGAACCTCTGGCTTTGGTCCCAGCTGGGGCATTGGCACGTCCGAGTGGAAGTCCCCAGCCTTGGCTGTAGCCAACACCCAATGTCACTGAGGGAGGCTCAAAAACACCCTGATACATGGAGCAGACGGGCATGCAGGCAACCAGCAAAGCCCAGAAACATGGGAAATACTCATAGTAGAGAACAGGCATATCTGTGCCTAGATCAGGGGCTGTCCAACCTTTTCTTGAGCACCTGCAGTGATGGAGAGTCCATCAGTCACTTCCCTTTGCCTAGGCAGTCTATTCCACTGCCTCATGATTCTAACAGCAAAGAAGATTTTTCTAGGTATTTAGTCCAAACTTACTTTGTTGCAACTTCAAGCCATTGATCTGTGTTTTCTTCTCTACAGCAAGAGAGAAAAAGTGATTTCCCTCATTTTTATGGCAGCCTTTCAAGAATTTGAACACGCTATCACATCCCTTCTTAAGCACCTTTCTGCAAGCTGAACATGCCTAGCTCTCTTCATATGACTTGCTTTCCAAACCCTTTATCATATTTGTTGCCTGTCTCTGGACCCTCTCTAACTTCTCCATGTCCTTTTTAAAATGTGGAGCCCAGAACTGCACACAATATTCCACATGAGGCCTAACCGGTGCCGAGTAGAGAGACACTATTACTTCCCGTGCCTTGCATCTGATGCTTGTGTTGATGCACTTCAAAACCTCATTCACTTTCTGTGCGGCTGCATCACACTGCAGAGCCATATTGAGTCTGTGATCTACCAAGACTCCCAAGTCCTTCTCCATAGTGCTGCTATACAGCAAGGTGTGTCACCCATTTTATATTTGTGTTTTTGATTATTCCTCCTGAAGTGTAGGTCCTTGTATTTTTCTGCATTAAACTTCATCCTATTAGCTTTAGCCCAGTTTTCCAATCTGTCAAGATCCTTCTGAATTGCTCTCACATCCTCCAACGTAGTCCTTCCCAGTTTCATGTCATCTGCAAACTTGCTCAAGAAGCTTTCTATGCCAGCATCCAAATTGTTAATAAACATGTTGAACAGCACTGGGCCCATGATAGACTGCTGTGCAGCTCTACTTGAAACCTTCTGCCATTCAGATATGGACCCATTAATAATTTCTCTTTGCTTGTGGCTTCTGAGGCAGTTATCTATCCACCTTGTAGTAGTTTTATCTAGCCTACATTTCTCCAATTTGTTTATGAGGTAGTCATGTGGGACTTTGTCCAAAGTCTTGTTGAAGTCCAGATAACTATGTCCTCAACATTCCCTTCATCCACCCAAGTAGTTAATTTGTCAAAGAAGGAGATTGTGTTGGGACTGTTTCTAGGTGGTCTTCCAGTACTGTGCCCCTTAGAAGCCACTAGCCTTCCTGGGTGCCTTTATCCTTCAGTCTATCCTCCCATGACACCATGCCTATTAACTCCTTGAGTCAAATGAAATCTGCCTTTTTGAAATCTAGTGTCCTAATTTTGCTGACCTCATGCTTTCCCTGTCTAAATATCTGGAATTCTATTGTACTGTGATTACTTCCTTCCAAGTTCCCCATCACCCTCACATCCTCCACCAATTCTTCCCTGGGCAAGATCCAGATAGATAATCCTCCACTTAGTGGAACAGAAATTTGTCCTCTACACAAGTTAGGAACTGGCTTGACATTTTATGTTTGGCTGCGTTGTTCTTCCAGAATATGTCTGGAAAATTGAAGTGTCCCATCAGTACCATCCCATAGCTTTTGAATAGGTTTGTCTCCTGCTTGAAGAGTGTGTCATCCACCTCCTCTCCTGATCAGATGGCCTATAATAAATCCCCACCATTATTTTGTCATATCTTTCACATTTCATCTTCACCCAAATGCATTCTGCATTGCTGTCTTCCTGAACCAGGCAACAAGTGTATGTGTTTTTGACATAAAGGCAACACCCCCACCTTTTCTCTTAACCCCCTCCTTCAGAAACAGTGTAACCTTTGATGTTGACATTGTCATAAGAGCTGTCCCACCAGGTCTTGGCAATGCTTGTCAGATCATAGTTCTTTTCACAGGCTGCAGCTTTCCACTCATTTTATTTTTATTCCTCATACTTTTTGTTTTTGCATATGTGCATTGGGCGTAGTTTGCATTTTGAAGCCCTCGCTTCCCTTTAGTGCCACTTGTTGCAGTTCTGTAGCTCTTTGGCCCTTTCCCAGAGTTAAGTTTCTTCTTTCAGTCTTTTTGAGTTGTCTGGATTGTGTGCTTTGTTAGTAGAAGGTTTAGTTCACCCCTTACCTGCAGAACCTAGCTCAAAGCTCTCTTTATTGGCTGGCCAGATGATGCCCTGCAGAAGGGAGTCACCCATCACCACCACTTTTCTCTTCCTCCTTGAGGCAGTGGTCCTGGAGCCCTCACCTGTGGGGCCTTGCACTTCCTGCTGGCTAGGCTGTTTTCTGACTCATGCCTGCAGATGATGTCCTTTCCTCTGCTTTTTCCTCAACAGTTCCACTGCAGGGTGCTTGAAAGTGGTTGCTGACTTCAGTTTGCTGCTCTTCAACTCTGAGACCCTCCTTTGAGTAAATTGCGTGCTGCTACTGTTTCTCATTGCCCTTTGGCCTTTCCATTACCAGTCACTCATAACTCTTGACCAAATAATCTTCCTAGTCCTTGATGCAATGCAGCATGGATGCCCTTCCTTCTGATCTTTGAATCTTCTCCAGGGCAGACACCAGCTTATACTTGGTGCGGACAAAATGCGCCTAACCCTCTGGGAGGAACATTAACATGGCACATCCCATGCAGGTTGCAACAGCTGACCATTTATGCCTCCTTTGCTCCCTGGAGAACACCTATGCTCTAAGGCAGGGGCAGGCAAAATGCAGCCCGAGGGCCAGATGTGGCCCGCCAGCCCATTCTATCCGGCCTGCAGGGCTCCTAAATATTTTAGAAAATTAATATTTATCTGCCCCTGGCTGCCTGTCATGTGGCCCTCAGTGGCTTGCCAAAATTCAGTAAGTGGCCCCCCGCCCGAAATAATTGCCTGCCCCTGCTCTAAGGAGAAGACAGACAGACAAGACGAGAATCTATATGCAAAACACCACACCAGGACCCTTACCCACGGGCACACATGTTCTTGTTCTCTCTCTCTCTGTCTCTCTTACCACCTCCCCCCACCACCTCCTGTTAGCTGCCCTCTGTTTGCTGCTCACGTGGGTCTCTGGGGGGCGCCTTTTATAAGACTGACTAGTTTAGCTTCACCTGACTATTATTTAAACCAGCCCCACACAGAGCAAGCCCTGTTACTTAGTCACTCCAGAGGGGAAGAAAAGAAAAAAAGAGAGAGGAAAAAAAATAGACCACAAACACACACTAGGCATGAGGCAAACCCTCTAGCACAATGCTTCCCAAACTCTTCCTCAGCATGACCCCATTTATGGCCCCATTTCCTCAGCATGATGGTCCCTCACTCCCAACCCACAGCCCCTCACCCCTGCGACCCCATTTGGGGTTGTGACCCACAGTTTGGGAACTGTTGCTCTAGCAGCTGTCAGACCCCCTAAGTCACTAGCACAGAGAAAAGCCTCTTCAAGGCTGTCCCACACCTGAGCTGCTTATCCCACATCAACTGCTCTTTGCTTACTGCTCAGCTTACACAGGCTATTCTGCAGGTTGTTCCCAACGTGGCAATTGTACTTGATCCATTAGCTGCTGCAATGTGGTGGGGCACCATGGAGACTGAAGGGGCGGGTTCTACATTGGTGCAGTCCCCAAGGTGTTGTGAATACTATTAGTTCTCAGGTCTCCCGAGCAAAGGAGATTTGGCAGTATCCCTTCATTAAATCCAAGGTTGATTTGTATATGTTTATATACACACATACATGCACACATGTTTGCCTTTTCCCCAGTTGTTGCAACAGTTCATCAGTTGAGGCCATAGGGTAGACATCAGTCTTCAACACCACATTCAGTTTATTAAAATTAATGCAAAACCAAATTGTGTTGGTTGCCAAACTAGAAAAAACAGTTGCGCTGCATCATTCACTTGATGACTCCTCAGTCAGCCCCATGTCTCTAGCATACTCTGTACTTCCTTTACTGTCTTCTGGAGTCACTAGGGTATATGGGAGAATTGCTTGTGGACGGGAACACCCTGTTGTCAGGTCCATCTTACAATTAACCAGGGCAGTCCTCCTTAGGTTTTAAACACATCTGGAAACTCCATCTATAGGGCTATGGCAAACTGTGGACAAGTTTCCCCTTAGAGCAACCTCACTGACAGGAATCAGTTGTTTTTTCCCCCCACGTTTCCTGTGTTTGCTGATAAAACAGTTGAGACATTCAGCACTTCTCAGGCTTGCCAGGAGATTTACATAATCTATGTGGGGCCCTTGCTGTCTCCCTACCAGATATGCTTCATAATCCATACCCCTAATTTGCCTCATGATCTCATTTAGCAAAGAATTTACTTTCCAAGGAGGGGAGCAACAGCAGGACCTGATCACCAGGTTGATAGACCTGCAGTTGTGCATTCTTGTAATGCTGCTCTTGGGTCTGCTGTGCAGCCTTGAGGTTCTCCTGTGCAAATGTTTCCACTAGGTCCAGTTGTTCCTGCTGCCTGAGAGTAAACTGGATGACATTCTGTGAGTTTGTGCCCTATGCCTGCCAGGACTCATGAAGACAGGTATAATATGTCTTAGAAAAAATGAAGGGATACTGGCAAATTTAATGCAAAATTCCCTTGCTCAGGAGTCTGGAGAACTATTACAAAAGTTCTGGGAATCCTGAGAACTATACTAAAGTTCAAATGGAGAAAACCCTGTGGAGGATGGGGAACCGTGTGGATAGCAAACAGTAGAAGCACATCCGATTTCTGGGGTTGAGGCATTTCTCCCGTGGGCACAGTTTCCCCTCAGCCTCACTGCCCAATAAGCCTGGGTCTGTGGAATATTCTCTGGGGTCACCCAGTTCACATTGTACCCCAACTCTGCCCTGCCTCTTATTAGGCCACCAACCACAACACCACCGCTACTCAGGGCTTCTCTGATTCTTTGGCATTTTTGGTGTGGTATAGACCAGTGTCCAAACACCTTTAGGTCAAAGGGAAATATCACCCCTAGTTGATCCTTAGGATAATCTTGAGTACTTAGATGCTGCCTACTTTTTGCTGCCAGACACAACAACTAGGTAAGTGAGCCTTAGTCCCAGCCTACCACTCCTGGATTGAGGAGGTGGTTAACCATTGCTGCTATCAGCTCTGCACTCTGGCCCTCAACCAACACCTGTGCCTCTGTGGTCAGATAGGTGTAAATTCAGATCATATATATACACTCCACAGTTGATAGCTAAGCAGGGTCTAAGAGCTGCCCATGAGCAAGTGTTTGTCCAGAGCCTGAATCTACTAGGCCCAGGACCTGGGTATCCCGTCTTCACGGGGACCACATAGGCTCTGTGCTTTGGGGTCTCTCACTGGACCTCAGAAATCCCTGTCTGCATGTCACTGCAGTCCATCTATGGGCAATCCTTGTGCCAGGGGCCTGGCTGTCCACACACAAAGCAGCTCAAGAGTTCCCCTTTCTCTTGGCCTGGTACTACATCCTGGAGAGGATCCTCTTTTATTCCCAAGTCTGTGGCCTGATACTGTTGAACCTACCCTTTTTTCCTTGGGGATTGGGGCAGGACTTCCGTACTGGATGCAGGACCTCTACTCACAGGCCTTCTACCTGCAAGTGGCCTTCCTCATTTTGAGTTCATGCCTTTGTGTACCTTTCTCTTTGGTCCATTAGGGTATTTCCTACAGTCTGATTCAGAATGTGGTGGCCTACCTTTGATGGGGTTGGGTCACCAGGAGCACATTATTCCAGTTCTCCAGAGTCTGCACTGGCTTCCAGTAGCTTTCTGGGCGCAATTCAGTGTACTGGTCGCAAACAGCCTGGGTTCTACATACTTAAGGGAGCAAGTGACTCTTTATGTTCCATCACAATCCCCAAGGTCCGCTGAGAGCAACCTCCTGCAAGTTCCATCTGCACCACTGTCCAGCAAAAATATATAGGAGATCATTCTCAGGAATTGATCCTCAGCTTTGGAATTCCTTCCCCTTTAAGGCTCATCATGAGCCTGAATCTGGACATCTTTTGGGAACATTTTAAGACCTCCTTTTTGAGCAGGGTTTTACTAGGTGTGGTTAAGTTCTGGTGTATTGTTTGGGAAATGTTTTATCACTTACTATTGTATGTAATATTTTATCTGTTTTTATGACTTGTTTTTACTGTAAGCTGCCCTGAGCCTTATGTCAGTCAGCTGACATAAAGTACATTTAAAAGCACATTTTGTCAGTCCTGAGCTGCCCTGAGCCTTGGTAGGGCAGCACATAAATCAAATAAAAAACATAAACAAATATGCTTAAGTGCTCAACTTGCTGAATTGGGGTTCCATACTTGCCTTAGCTCCCCGGGCTGTCAGCTGCTTGGAGTATGGAGGCAGTACCCTGCAGCTGCTTCTGATACTAATGTACAGTACAGCATTGACTGGCCCTAAACAGGGCTTTTTAAAATCTATTTCTGGCCAAGGCAATGGCAGAGCATGGATATCAGCTCTAGCCCATCTGTTTTCCTTTATGGTTCTGGGAGTCCAGTTGCTAGAGTGTTGTCCTGTTCAGCCTACACACCTCACTTCTTTGGTTCTGAGAAGTTATTTCCAGGGTGAATTACTAGAGCTCTCAAGCATTAGATCTGAAACTAGATGCTGCTAACCTTTTTCCTCTATTATGCTTTTAAATGTTCTTTGACAGCTAAGCTGAAGACCCTAATATTCTGGATTTTGTTTCTAGGGCAACAATAGTTTCACTGGAAGACTTTGAACAAAGACTGAACCAGGCTATTGAAAGAAATGCGTTTTTAGAAAGTGAGCTGGATGACAAGGAATCATTGCTAGTTTCTGTACAGAGGTTAAAGGACGAAGCAAGAGGTACCATTTGTTGGATTAATTCTATGATTTAACGCATTGTTCCCTTGTTAACAGACACATGCAACAACTAAAACTCATGTTTGTATAAAGCCCAACACAATGGGACTTAAGTCGGTTGTGCTATACAAACCTTAAACATTAGAAATGATATGCTTAACATTTGCTATTAATATTTCTTCTGCAGTTGAGGGGGAGAAAAATCTCAGCTAGTAAATAGACAAAAATAATGAGAACCACTCAGGACTTTTTTTTTGTTAAATGTAAGCACTATAGGTGAATTGCAAATCACACATGAAAACTGAGTTAAGGCCAGATC